GCCTTGAGTGCTTCCAGCATTTCCTAGAAAATAAACCCAAAACCACTTTAACTTTCCATACAGTTACAAAGAAGTTGGTTACATTGTGTGCAACCATCCCAAACCCATGGTCTCATAAAAAACAACCAAGCAACACTATTACTGGGTTTAGACAAAAAACTACCTAAACACAATCCAGATCAATTCATAAACAAGTAAAATAACTGCTGAGTCTTTCTTATTATATAATCAACCAGGTTGGAAAAGACCTTTAAGACCATCAGGTCCAACTATTACCCCAGGACTGCCAAGACCACCACTGAACTACGCCATTGAGGGCCTCATCTACATGGTCATGAACACTTCCACGGATGTTGAGTCCACCACTTTCATGGGCAGCCTGTTCCAATACCTGATTACCTCTCTCTGAAGAGACTTTTCGTAATATCCACTCTCTGAAGAGATTTTTTGTAATATCCGATTTTTTTTTGTAATATCCAAAGAATATATTTGCATGCTATAACACAGAACTTTTTACTACTATTTTATAATAACCTTCATCAGTAAGATTACATTCGGTTAAAGCACGAGCTAAGCACAGTTACAAAACACTGAAACCAAATAAGCCTGAGACCCGCGCCTGAGCTAAGCAATACAAACCTCCCTTCGATCCGAGGGGATTGGGCAGGTGCCTGGCATGTCAGCGGAGCAGCAGCAATGAACCTGCCTGTTAACGAGCGCTGCAAACGTCAGGCTGCGCCTCCGCAGCGGAACTGAGGGTACGACCGGGCTCGCTTCCCAGCCCCGGAGCCTATCGGGGCTCGCTGCCCCTGACGGCTCATCCGGCCGATTCCCCGTAGGATGCTCCCCGCCGGGCAGGCCCCGGCCCCCGCCTCGCCCCTCAGCCGTGCCCGCCCCACCTTGTCGTTCTCCAGGCGGGTCTCCAGGATCTTGTTGAGCTTGCGGGACAGGGGGTTGCTGCCAGGGGCAGCCGGCAGCCCCGGAGTGGGGACGGCAGGCAGCTGCGGCGCAGCAGTGTCGGCCATGGCTACCCTCGGCGCCGCGGTGGTGGACCGGCTCCGTCGGAAACGCGCTCCCAAGGCTTTGGTTCCGGCCTGGCCTAGGGCGCCGGCCCGCGGCCGTTGAATGTGAGGAGGTTGGATCGCTGGTACAGGTGGCACTCGGAAGACTACATGAAACATTTTGGAATAGTGATAAGAAAGAGGGCTCGCTTCCTGAGGTCGGATAGCTGTGGTTTGTGTTCAGTTCTGAGCCCCTTAAAACGAGAGATACTGAGTTGCTGGAGTGGGTCTTGAGAAGGGCAGTGAAGGTGGTGAAGAGTCTGGAGAACAAGTCTGATAAGGAATGGCTGAGGGGCTGGGGTTGTTTAGTCTGGAGGAGAGAAGTCTCAGGGGAAACCTTACCGGTCTCTACAGCTACCTGATAGGAGGTTGTAATGAGGTGAGGGCTGGTCTCTTCTCCCCAGTAACAAATCATAGGACAAGAGGAAACATCCTCAAGCTGCACCAGGGAAGGTTTAGATTGGAAAATTTGAAAAATTTCTTACAGAGAGGGTGGTCAGGCATTGGAACAGGCTGCCCAGGGAAGTGGTGCAATCACCGTCCCTGGAAGTGTTCAAAAACTGTGTAGATGAGGCCCCCAGTGACATGGTTTAGTGGTGAACTTGGCACACATAGGGTGTTGGTTGGACTTGATGATCTTAGAGGTCTTTCCAACCTGGCTGATTTTGTGATTCTGTGATTTAATGCATGAAAATAAATGCTTTTGTTACAATCATAACTAAAAAGGGAAAACAAATGACTCTAAAAGTATTCAAGGCCAGGTTGAACGGGTTTGAGCAACCTGGTCTAGTGGAAAGTGTCCCTGCTTGTGGCAGGGGGGCTGGAACTAGATGATTTTTAAGGTCCCCCCAACCCAAATCGTTTGGATTCTTTACTGCAGAAGCTAATAGCAATGACAGGAAAAACGTGTCAAAATGAGGAGGGTATCTTGTTCTGGCTGTGCATTTACTGCCACAGAGGTTCTACCTCTGAGGTATGCTTGTGGCTTAAGAGTAGCAAAGCTGCCTTTCACCATGATGCGGAGATGTGGCTCCATGAACCGGGGTTGTGGTGGGGTCCACATCCCCTGCCATGGCAGCATCAGCCTCCACACCCCAGGACAGCCTGGACAGAGGCCTGCAGCCTTGCCACTCTGATGGTTTGGCTAAAACATCCCCTGGAGCCCGGCTGCATGTCCCACTTTTGTGCTGCAGCCATGACATGTCCCATCTCAAGCACTGAGGTGCAATGAAGAGATATCTGTGAGCGTTTCCAAAGGACAAAAACCTGGTATGCAGATGAAGGTCAGATGCCATGGAATTATAGAATCATAGATTGGTCAGAGTTGGAAAGCACCTTAAGATCATCTAGTCCCAACCCCCCCTGCCATGGGCAGGGACACCTCACACTAAACGATGTTGCCAAAGGTTCTGTCCAACCTGGCCTTGAACACTGCAAGGGATGAAGCATTTACCATTTCTTCGTGCAACCCATTCCAGTGCCTCACCACCCTCACAGTAAAGAACTTCTTCCTTATATCTAACCTGAACATCCCCTGTTTTAAGTTTGAATCCATTACCCCTTGTCCTATCACTACAGTCCCTAAAGAAGAATCACTCCCCAGCATCCTTATAGGCCCCCTTCAGATACTGGAATGCTGCTATGAGGTCTCCACACAGCCTTCTCTTCTCCAGGCTGAACAGCCCCAACTTTCCCAGCCTGCCTTCTTATGGGAGGTGCTCCCGTCCCCTGATCATCCTCATGGCTCTCTTCTGGACTTGCTTGCCCCCTGGGGGGCACCACTCGTTACTGTTTTCCAACTGGACATTTGAGCCATTGACCACAACTCTTTGCGTGTGGCCATCCAGCCAGTTCTATATCCACTGAGTAGCCCATTCCATCCATCAAATTATATCTCTCCAGTTCAGAGACAAGGATGTCATGCGGGACAGTGCTGAATGCTTTGCACAAGTCCAGGTAGTTCATGTCAACTGCTTTGCCCCTATCCATCAGTTCTGTGGCCCCATCATAGAAGGCCTACTGCACACAGCTCTTATATAAAAAGACAAGTGTCCTACTGTGATATTAGCTCTGAAAACAACAGCACCTTGCATATGCAGATAAAAGTATGTTTCCATTTGTCTGATGGTGTGTGATCAAAAAGCGAAGTCTCAAGCAGTAGCTTACCTCTTGAGGAGTTTGGAGACTTCACATTGCCCTTCTGTAGGCTTTTCCTGAAAAGAACTGCAAGCAGATCAAGTAGCCTTTGCCCAAGATGGAGCACTGATCTTCTGAATGTTTTCATTCACTTTGTTTCTTTTCTTTTAGTTTGATTCATTTAGCTTATGAAAAAATTACGATCAGAGCCGCCTTCCTAAAATTTTAGCATGATGGGGACAGTGATAGGATGTTTTTCTGTTTAATTTTTATTTTTGTTTGCTTCCTCACATGGATCCACTACCTAAAAGGCCAGGTTTTCTGAACAGCCTGTGCAGTGACTTGTTTCTACTCTCAGCTAGTCAGCAAGCATGTTTTCAAGTATTTTCAGACACTTGTTTCCCTTAGTTTCTGTTCTTCCACCCCATTACACTGATGTTATTTCCTCTTAGATGTCCTTTACTTCTGACTCAGCTTCTGGGAGACAGGATCTCCCTTCTCCATGTCAGAAGAGATAAAACAGTATGCAGTCATCACAAGTGTGAGCAATTAGTATGTAAGCATGTCAAGAAAATCCTATTATTAGAAAGATTCCCTCTGAGCTATAAATTGGATGCTGTTAGCAGTTTGAACATTTCAAATGCTGCTAGCCTGTTGGATGAGTTGACAGAGGGAAGGCACACTTTGAAGTCAACAAGACCTGTGTATCTGAACTGCAGGTGTCAGAAAAGTCAAGACTATTGCTGAGGCTCATCCAGCAAGTTATAATATAAATATACAAAGAGCAAGAAAGATTCTCCTCTATCAGTTGGGACATGAATTTTCTTTTTAAGCACCCAGTTGTGCTTTCAGATGCTCATTGAATGGTGTGCATTTTTGCAAGAATGTGTTTCATGAACCAGAATGCTAGCTCACGTAACACAGGGCTGTCAGGAACTGATAGGATTCTGAAACAGCATGCATTTATGTGTGCATGAGAAGAAGTAATAAGGGGAGCACTTTTTTAACCTCCCACAGCTGAAAGAAGTATTTGCATGAGGACACCAAGGCTTATCTTTTGTTCTTCTTTTAGGAATATTGGACGCAGCTACAGAAAAAGTCCTCATCTGCAGGAAGCTGGTTACAGTAGCTTGCTGCTCAGCTATGCTATCCTTCTGGAAGTGATAATAGCTCTCTATGCTGCAGGCCATATAGATGGTCAGGTGAGTGGAACTCAGCTTTGCCAGGCTCTCCACTGCACACAACATAACCCAGATGAAATCCATCATTGCCTTGCATTCTTCACCGGTTCTCTGCCATCAAATTATTCATTAGCTTTTTCCAGCATTGTGTGCTGTGGTTGGGCTAGAAAACCCAGCTGATAAGCAGGAGTACAGGAAAAGGTTCTGTGTCTTCAAGTCAGTTAGAGTTATATTTTTTGATAATTTATCTTCTAGAAGGTTAATATTGTGGATACTTTCCACCAGACCACATCAGCCCATTCCTTGAGCTAACGGTTTTTCTAAAGTTCAGACTGTGTTGATCCCATTCTGCTAATTAAGGTATGACTCTGTAACTGATCTGGCCAAAGGTCACCCTGATAGCAACCTGTAGTCATGTAGTCATGTAGTGAAACCTGTTTGTGTCCCTTGAAGGTCCAGAGGAATGTACAGTTCTCAAAATTTTGGTTAGCTCATGCTATTTCACTTGAGGATTTATTGTCATGTCTCACAGTCAGCAGTAATGGCTATAATATATGTGATGCTGAATTGGCCACCTGGTTGGAGGGCTGTTTGTTATAATTCACCGAAAAGATAACACAAACAGTACAATATGCACTTTAATGCATACCAAACCCATGAAATCTTCCTGTTCATCTTCTGCTAAAAGATACCCCCAACCACTGATTTCAAGGGAAGCACTGTGTCAGCAAAACTAATAGGGTTTGATCTAAATATACTTGTCCCTAGAACTCTAGAGGATACAGGAGTTCTCTAAGGAAGTGGTCATCCAACTACATGGCCACATCCTGGGCAAGGTGAATAGAATTGGTCATGGCACTGCCACTCACTTCAGTAGGGGTCCAAATATCACCTAGAAAAAAGGAAACAAATAGCTTAGATGGTGAAGAACTAATACTTGCTTGTGGCTGACTAACAACATCACCTTAGTGACACTGTGTCTCTGTGGCTGAGGTATAAAGCTTATCTTAGTCTGCATGTGCTAATTACTATGCAGGTATGCAATACAGGAGATTATTGTTATGATTATAATAACAATATAGCAATGATGAAGAATATTTTGGGGAAAAATAATAATTCAAAAAAGTAAAAGCCAGACACAAGCATACACATGGTATATTAACACATATTTATATATATAACATAAATATATTTATCTATAAATATATTAACACATGATATATGCTAATGGTGTCTTCCAGGCCTGCTATCCTTTCTCTTCAAGCAGTGATTGCCTATATCCTGCTGGCAAAACATCTCTGGAATATGTTGTGTTTTACAAATGAAATAAAAGTAACCCAAACAACTGAACAGATATTACAACTACTTACCATCAGGCAGAGAAACAGTACACTTCACTATATCTTGATCTCTTGTGAGGTCAGTCTCTAGTGGAGAAAATCTGGTGAATACCTAAATTAATGGGCAGTGCCTCCATATCAGCTAATCAGCGCAAGGCCATTTATGGGATTATGACATGGCCATGACATGGATCATGAGAAGCCAAAGGTATAGCTAATAAATCATAGGAATGATGGCATTAGAAAAAATGCCTTTTGAGTAAATACATCAGCAGCACAAGTTTTAACACAGACCATGATGGCTGCAAGCTTGGAATAGATCTGTGACATTGCAATCCCTTAATGGGAATCCCGACCACTGCCTTAAGCCACTACAGCAAGTGGTGAACCATGACTATTTCTCACTGAAGTGCCTGTATATCTTAGGCATTCTTGTTATCCCAGGAACCCAATCACCATGGTTGCTTTGTGTTTATAGTTCAAGTCACTGAAGACACATGATAAATGTAATGTATATTGCTGCCATTCAGGATTAATACAGAATTTCAACATAATATTACTCTGCTTTGCAAAACAAGACATATAGTAATAAAATCTATGATGAAATGCACTTTTGTAGCCTTTTCCATTTCATTCTCTCTGTTTCATTGACTGGCTGGTCTCTGAAACTTCAATTTGTCTTTTCCAAAGCTCCTTTTAAATTCCTGTTGCTGCCATCTTGCCCTTTATGTTCCTACCCACACACACACTTCTGCCACACAAGCAGGGTAGTATGACTGGCTTCTCTCAGCTCCAGCCTATTTCCTTACTATAGTCACTATCCAAAGTACAGTCATTAGCATTAATAACTGCTGTACTGGATCTGGTAGCTGTTCCTTGAGATGTAGTTGCGTAAGATGATGATTCCTCTTGCTAACCCAGCAAATCCTGCACAAATGTTCATATTGGCACAGGAGAGACAAGAGTATATTGCCAGCAACACTGGGGGATAGGACTTCCCTTTTAAATGGTGGCTATCAATTTTATCAGGCAAAGTGAATCTGGAACCATGAGGGCACAAGGAACTCTTGAGGGGACAAGCAGTGGTATGGCAGAGAGGCAAAAGTGGGGCAGCTTCACCACAAAAGCCATCATCTTGTGAAACTGCAACTTAGGGATGTTGCTAGTGCAAGTCATATAAAAATACTGACAATCATGGCAATTTTCATAGCATCCTTACAATATCAACCTGATTTTACACGCAAGGGTGTCATAAGCAGGTTTTCCTAGTGTTCATACCAATTCTGTTTGGGTCAATTTAATGGAACTTTATTGCTACAGCAGGAAAAGTTAAAGTTTCCAAAATGCCAGAAGTCACACACACTGACATCTATCAGGACAGAAGCAAAACAACTTCTCAGCAGCAACAATGTGGTGATACCTGGTATATTTGGATTTGATTTCCTCTGTAAAGTTGAGTCAGAAATGTCCTCCGGGCTTGCCTCCACCATTCATCTTTGTGTGTCAGCTCATGCAGCACTTCCAAAGCCTTGGCAAGATGCCATCACCCTCAGAGATGCTGTAGAGCTGCAGTGGATAAAAATAACTTATTACTTAACAGCTGACACTGGTCGCAGTCACTGCAGATGAGTTGCAAATAATTTCTGTGCAAAGATCTGCTTACCTCCAGAAGAAATGTGTTTAAGCCTGCGGTTTCTAGCTAAAATTACCTGCCACCCCTTTCTGGTGGTCATTTCTGCCTTTATGATATTATTACATGACTGGCATCCCCATGACTAGTGCTGGTGCACCGGAAGCCAATAATTATGTTCCCAAGTGAAGGCAAAGATCACAGGAAGCAGCCTTGTTTCTAAGCTTTGACTTCTCTGGCGTATATTTATCCATTTTCAATCTGAAATAGTGGGGCTGGAATGAGCCTGGTCACCTCTGCCAAGAGCAAGCATGATGGTGGTGACCTAGCCTGTTCCAGACCCTGCTGGGTGGCTCTAGGGACAGCTGGCAGGAGCATGGTGATGGGCTGCCTGCACTAAAATGCAGAGGGAGGACAGCTCAACCTTGCCACCCTGGGTGATGCAGCTGTCAGATGGCTGAATGGTACTGATGTCACTGTGATAACACTGGAAGGGAAAAGCTTCATGCATTTTGCTGCTCAGATGAGAGTTTTGCCAACCCAGGAGCTCTATGTCATCTATTGCACTCGAGGAGGTTGTTTCAGCTGGTGTACAGCATGGAGTCAACAGCTTTCTGAAGCCGTCACATTCCCTGGCAGGAACTCAAGGAGCATGTCCAGCAACCTCCAATTACAGCATTAATTACAAAAGACTTTAAGTTCTCCAGTAGAGGCCCCGAGCTTCCTTTGCCTGCAACTTGCAAGGACTTTCTTGTCCATGCAGGTAGAGCTCTCTTCAGAATATCTTCAGCCTGTTTATACATCACCCATCATTGTCAACTTCCCTTAAACAATGAGATATTAAAACGTTGTGCATGCAGAGCACATGCCTTTCAAAAAGCAAATGTCATGTTGAGTGAACTGCTAATCTGGAGGTATTGAAAGGATATTATAATGTTAATTTTGATGATCAGTGGCTTCCTTCTGTTCCATACTAGTCTTTTGTGTGATAACCTCTAGAATCCTAATAATACTGACACAGTAACACCTTAAAGAGATGCATCAGATGCCTTAACCAGCTTGCAGATCGCAGATTGCAGTACTAACTGGCAAAAATTAGCAGATTGTCTCCAAGCAATATTTGTGCCTCATTGTGGAAAGCTTATGGCAAGAAATGCCCACAGTGGCATGGAGCTAGACTTTCCTTTCACTGGTCAAAAAGACTATTTTGCTGCTCTACTGATGTGATTGCTGACCCACATCTGATATAGGAAGTTCTGAATACTAAGTGACCGGAATCTCTTCTCCCTGTCTTCAATTTGGATACCTGAAGACTTGAAGACAAAATTAAGTACTTATGGTAGGATACATCTCACCAGTCTTCTACCAGGTAAAGGTCAAGGGTGAAGCCCATAGTTAACCATCCTATCAGAGAAGTAAAAGAAAGGCACTTTCAGAAGGTCTCATCCTGAGATTCCTATCTAGTCTCTAAACTGGCTTCATAGAAAACCTGTGTGATGGGTCGTTAACTAGACACTTAAGTTTTTTCATCCTTATTGGTCTGACTGTGGCTTTTGATTTCTCTGCAAATAATATTAAGCGTATGTCTCGGCTTCTGTGCTGCAGAAATGAAACACTGTGCTTGAATCCTGTTTTAAGCCCAGACTCTCCTTATGCATATGGGGAAGGGCGGGTTATTTTACAATTAAATAAATGAAATGTCTTTCACAGTAAAATGATCCACTTGGCGCCTGTAGGCATGTGACATATCATCAAGATGTATATTTTTTTGGGTGACATATCATGGACTTCCCAGCTGCAAAGATAGAACTGCCCAAGGGCTACTTGGTTTTTGCACTTGAAACAGAAAAACTTTTAGATTTTCATTCATAAATCAATGGTGTTGTCCAGTTCATACCTGCTACTTCTTTTTCCTCTTCTTCTGTGCCTTCTTTCTTTATTCATTTTGTCATCTCTCCATCTTCTTATGCAAATCCGTCTCTCAGAGATATATGTTTCACTGTGCCAGAGATATGACTGCTTGGGATGCATTACTTACCTTCTCAGATACCAATATTAATCCAATTTTCTTTTAGCATGATGGGATTTGGACACAATTTCTATTATCAGTAGTGGAGATATTATGCCACCATACCACCACAGGGATATCAGCTTGTGTCTGATTCATGGAAATGAATAGGTGTTTTATGAGAGACTTGTGTGGGAGCAGGAATATGTGTATTGAGCTCCATTCTCCAAAGTATTGGGCACAGGCCTGAAGATGTGCTTAAACACTTAGTGATTCGTGGCCAGAGTTTCTGTGTTTTACATGATTGAACCAAAGTTCCTTTCTTTTTTCAGTCACTGAAGTTAGCAGAAGGATTCATGGATGGGTATTGCAGTGTAAATTAGAAGAAATAAGATGGTTGCAAAGAAAGAGGAAAGACAACTCTCACTGTATCATATAGGAAGGATGCAATGCCTTCCTGAATTTGTCCTCCTCATCGCTGCCTCTGCCACATTCTGCCTCCTTTTCCTTTAGATGGTTAAAGAGCTCAGCAATAGGCAGTTCTTCAATATGCAGAGCTACCACAAAGTCCTCTCTTCTTAAATGTGAAAATGGCTTAGCAAATATAGAATCATAGAATAGTTAGAGTTGGAAAGGACCTTAAGATCATCTAGTTCCAGCCCCCCTGCCATGGGCAGGGACACCTCACACTAAACCATGGCACCCAAGGATCTGTCCAACCTGGCCTTGAACACTGCCAGGGATGTTCACAACCTCCCTGGGCAAATTCAGAACCTACCTACTCTAAGGACAGCTTATAGTGTATATTTGAGTGAAGGAATTTTTGTTAAAAAAAAATAGTCTTTGGTTTAATGGGTAATTTCCCTTGAAAATGGTAAACTGCAAATTAAATGGTAAAAAGCAATTAATTATTGAAATGATAATATCCTTATAAAGGTTAAGAGGTAATATAAATGAAGTTCCTGTGAGCACATTAATGGAATTACTATCTTCCCCTTTATAAGTGGCAACTGTAACGACCTTGCTAATTAGCCATTTCAGCAGGAAAAGGAATATTGAAATATGTAGTTATATTGCAGAAGCACAATCTGTGACTAGGTTATTTTGCTACTACATAATACAGAGAGAACCCTTCTACATGCAGCGAAGAGCTCTTCCCAGAGCATGCAGCTTTTGGTGGAAACAAGAAACTATGCATTTGAATAACATAGGAAGAACAACTTCTAATTCGAAGGATAACACGAGTCAAAGCAAAAGATTTAACACAGACAGACAGGCCAAGACACACCTCTCTTCACCTCACTGCAGCCTCCCTGTGAGCACAAGGCATTGCCAGAACATGATTTGACCCACTGTGACTGAATGGGAAGCTGTTGGTCCCCAGGCACAGGTAGCCTGCGCTCCACAACCCAGTCTGGGTCTCAGGTACTCCCTGTGCTGTATCTGTAATATCTGGAGGTATATATGTATAATACAAAAATGCATAGCCATGTATATATACTGGATTTTCTATTGACAAGTCTTTTAGAAAGCTTTAAAAAATGAACTTAGTTCTTCCCCCACTGAGAACATGTTTTGGACATTGATAAATGGCAAAGTGGGTGCTGTTTGCATTTAAGCTGACAAGAGATGGCATTCCAATTTTCCTGTGAATGAATTTGTGGGAGATGACAGGGGTTCACCCTGCATGGAACCACCTGAGAGCTGTACAAGCCTCAGGGGTATGATGGGGAGGAAATGATCTTCCACTTGTAGAACAAATTGGCCTTTGTCCCCAGCAAAAGGATTTTCATCTTTCCTTTCTAAAAACCCCAGAAATCATTAGTGTCATCCTTGGGAATGTGAGCTAATATAGTGACCTAGATGCAAATGATTGCTAGAGCTCAGGGGGAGAAGCAGCTCAGCTCCAGTTCTGTGGCAAAAGGCTGAGGGGAGGAACATGGCACTGCCTTCCATCCCCATCTTAGATACACGTGGTTTATGCAAACTGTGACACTAGTCACCATTGCAGGTTGTGCAAATGCACCTCAGGAAACTCAAGATAATGTCACAGGGCTATTAGAAATCATGCAAACTTTGTGTAAAACAGAAAAACTCTGCTCTCTGCCTCCACTTTTCGTGCACACACCTTTGTCTGTAGCCCGCACCAAATGCTTCAGCAGGAAGACAGACCAAATCCCCTGCTATTTCCACAGAGCCCAGGAGGTGTGAAGCTTCCCTGTGCTTGCAGGCTGGCCTGTCCCCTTTTCCACCACTTCTCCATGCCCTCCCTGTCCTGGACACCCAGAGAGGGCCACTTTAGCAGCACCAAGCGCCACTACAACCTCTACTGCACTGGGCACCCTATGGGGCTAACCTGAGGAGCAGCCTGCTTCTGGCCCTGGTTTTAAAATTTGACTCTCAGCTTAAAGCCGATCCCTAACTGAGGCTTTAAATAAAAAAGAAAAATCTTCTGGTTGCATGTGTCCTTAAAAAGTCTTTTTTCTCTGAACACACATGCCATGAAATGCAAGAAAACACTGTGGCAATACCTGCTTGTGGCACATTCCCCACATCTTTATTTAATAGTGTCAAGGGAAAACAGACAGATGTTCCCCTGGTAAATAAGATGCCACAATTAAATTATTTGTATTGGTTCTATATGCACAGAAAACATGCTGCCAGTTTCTTACCAGGAAATCACTCATTCATCATCCAGACATTCCTTATTTTTCAAAGTCCACTTGGGAACAGTGGAAATTTAGGATTGAAATCATCTGCGTTTTTCCTGAGTTTGTGCAGGACTAAGCCAATTCCCTGGTGAAGGAGGATGAGTCTGGGACCTGTCATCCCAGAGCTGTCACCTTGGCAGTGTCTGCTAGGGCAGAGCAGGCATTCCTCCCTTCAGACGCGAGGCTGGTGCAGAATAAACCTCTCTGGCCTCTCCCACAGCCAACAGGCTTGTCAGCAGGAGGACACAAAAGAGATAATCAGTAGCTTGATTTGCTGTAGCTACTATTTTAGAGCCTTGTAAAATGCAGATCACCTGGTGGCTTTTATATAATAGATAATAATTTTATAAAGCTGAAACAACATAAGGAGGGTTTATGGCAAATAATAAAGGATGTTTCCTTTTTCTTATGTTACACTGACGTTGTTTGTATGTGCATGTGTATTGCTTAACAGACTGATGTTAACAGTGTTATATCCAGTAAGACAACTGTCCTCCAGAAATGTGTTAAGTTCTGTTCATATACTGTCAGTAACACGATTTATAAAAATTGCCACCACAAAAATAAGCACTAATCATAATGCATTTTTGGAATAGAAGTGGAGAGAGGATTTATTTGTTAAGAGCTAAGTTTTTAGGTCAGGATTCAGGTTTAGATGTCAGCCCCAGTTCTTGGGAGTCTAGTTCCTCCCACAGTAGAAAACATGCAATGTGTTTGACGTGGAAAAGACACCACACAGATGTGCTGACTTGAATTTTTCTTACCTTCCTCAGAGAAATTTGCAGGTGTTAGACTTGTGGTTCTCTTTTTCTGCCTATTTAGTTGATCTTGTTTTTTCCCAGCTGCTGGGATTGGACATATTTCAGGCAAATATATTAATTATCAGATGATTTTCCTAGCAGTACTTGTCTGTTTGGTTTTTAGTGACTGTATTTGAGTAATTGGGTTGACTTTCTGTTGCTCCCAGTATGTAGCCTCAAGTCTATTATTGTGCCTACACCTTTCTTTTTCATTTGAAATCAAGTACAGACATGACCTGAAGATCCAGTTTTGTAAGATGCTCGGAACCATGCCTGCATGATCACTCTCCTGCAGACCACACAAGAGAAAACCAGATGGTGGCCTGCAAGATAAAAACATGTTGTTTCTTTTTATTGTCAAAGACTGAAGAATAAGATGGAGGTTTGGTAGCTGCTTAATTTTCCTCACAGTTTGGGAACATACATATTTCCCTATGGCATTTTACAGACAGTGGATTGTCTTACAGGATATGCTGTAATGGAAGAGTCTGTGGCCGAGCCTGTGATATGTATTGCTCCCTGTGATGTGAGGATTGAGTTAGGTCCAGTGATATGATTTTCTCTTTATTCTGATGCTCTGATTAGCTCCATCAAGTCTGTAGGGCCCCAGCTGTAACAGCAGCTTAGTCAGTGGGTTGGAGAGAAATGGTAAAATCTATAGGCATATTTCCCCGTATCCCTGTTAGGGTAGTTTTTTGACAGTGTATTCATGGGTGTTTGATCCAGTCTGACTTCCAGTGGTTCCAGCAGTGGGGAATCTGGGACTCAGGTTCCCTTGACCAACTCTGAAGCATATTCTCTTAAATTTCAAAACACTAGAACCAGTTTTTAAACCAGCTGCTATTTCAGTATAGACAAGACCCTGGGGACCGTGACTTTTATCGCTCTGCTCCGAGGAGGTCTGTCTGCTTCTGTGGTTACAAGAGAGACTGTGGATCCTGAAGCACCGTGTGATAACTCCCATTTTCTTTCAGACAGGCTAGATGTGGATTGAAATATTTCCGCTAACTTTCCCAGCAGAAATACTTCTAAGCACAATGTTCTCTGAAAGGGGAGCAAATGCAGATACAGCATGCTGTGTTGTAAACATTAGGAAAAAAATGGAATGAGAATTTGGATGTTAATTTATACACACAATGTGTTTGTTTCTAATCAAAAGTCCTTCTCTCATGGAAAATGGATTGTGAAATAATGCTTATTGCCCTACAAGTGCTGAAGTCATGCAGCCAGCTTGTGGGGGCATTCAGAGACAGCTGGCAAGATAAGATGCTTCAGGAGAGATGCAGAATTCAGTGTACAGTTTCTGTGAGGGAATGCAGGATGGCAGCAGCTCAGGGACTGAATGTAAAGGCCATATAAGGGAAGTAAATGAACTGCTGTAGAGATGCCATTAGCAAAGCAAACACTGACTTGGGGACCTTGGCGTATACCATGGAAGATATAAATTGCATTAATAAATGCATACTTGTTTGCTTCTCCCTAGGTTTACAAACCCAGTTTTAACCAAGACACTGTTCACATGTGTGAAACAAAGTTCTTCCACAGTTTTAATGCCAAGCAATTTCTACTCATGTCTAATCCCAACACACGCCTTATTTAGACACATTCATCACAATTTTATTATAAGCAAGGCCCCTGGCCAAGGAAAGAATGTCAGATTGGGTCTTTAAACAATTGTGGGGTTAATAACAGTACTTGATTCTTCTCCTTCTTTACACCAATAGCACAATTCAAGAATTCAAGTGACACAGGGAGCTTAGTATCCCTGACATTTCAGGCGTTGATACAATGAACAGCAGGAGGTAAAACACCTGACTGAGCTAGGTGAAGGCGTGCAAGCAGTAAATGAAGAGTGTCTATACTCATGGAGCAGTGCACAGCTCCCTGCCGAAGTGGAGATGTGAGAGCCAGTGCGCTCTCAGAGGTGGAGGCTTGGCACCAGGCAGAAAGCTGAGTTGAGGGGAGGGTGCTAGAATGGTATGCTGCGGAGCAGGCTCCAGCCCTCAGCCTTGGGAAAGTCACACCAGCTCTCTTTCTGCCTGCCATGCCGTGGGCACATCCACATTCATGTTTTCGTGTGAATCAAGGGCACGCTTTTGAAGTAAATCTCCAGATCAGCCTCACCAGGCTGCGGTTCACTCAGCAGTGGTGAGTACACAAAGTGAGTGCAGGGGGCGCTGAGGCAGAATTCAAGCTCCAGGACTGCATCTGATGAGTTCTCAGTGCTCATGGGGCCCTCAGTCCATAGACCCAGGTTGGAGTAGATCTCAAAAATAAAACCCTGTGGAAAAGTGTGAACATATTCGGGTCCTCAGCACCAACTGATTGGATCAGACCAGTCCACATTACTCACTAATATAGGTGTATACCATGAGGATAAAGCCTAGAGGTAGCCAGGGTGGCATGGATGTTTTGGGAGTATGCCTTCATTGTCTTCCTTGTGAAACACATTATTGCACATATTCTAGCACTCAGCCTATATTTAACCTAATTCTTTGATTTGAAGCACTCTTCCTTAAAGAATATGCTTGAAATGTCAGTATGGAAAACTCAGTCTTGCTAGATACATTCCAATCCATTTTTTTATCCCTTGAGAAAATACACATTTTCAGTAGTGTTGTGATTTTAAGACTTTGCATTATGGGGGAAAATTGGAAGTCCTACAAAAAAAAAAACCCAAACCAATAAAGTGGTTAAGTAATTTAATTCTGAACATGACTGTTGCTGCTATTAAATGGTGTAAACACAGGCTGAGTGCAATAAACCTCATTTCCATTTAGCATTAATAATATTAATGATCAGTACTTAAATCACGTACCATGTTCCAGCACTGAAGAAGAAACATTACAAAAGAGATTTTGCATGTCTGGTGCTGACACAATTTAAACCTAGCATAAAAATATCTTCTCTGTGAAGGAATTTATTCAAGCTGCAGGGCGGAGAGGAAAAAGCCGAATAGGAAATCTCCCTTTCTCCCAGAGGCTCTGCGTGCACCATCCCTCCTCACTCCCAGAAGGCAACCCCTCCCCAAAACTTTCCCACTGAAGACAGTCTGGGAAAGGACTGGAGCTCTGTCTCTCCGCTCGCATTAACCCAGCCGGGATGAGCTGCTGGGTGCTGTGGTCACATTTACTCCCGCTGTAGACCAGGCTCCCGAACTGTTGCTATCAAAATGCTGGATCAGCAGCTCGCATGCAGACAGACAGACACACACACACGCCCACCCCCATCAGGAGATTAGCTCATATTTTCCCATGTAAGGGCTGCAGCCTTCCTCTTTCCTTCTAACACTCCTTCCCCGCCGGCTTTTTCCTCTTATGCCCTCTCCCCCTGCTCCGGCAGCGGCTCCACCGTTCCCCACACCCCGCAGGCAGCCGCCGAGCTGCGGCGGCCGGAGATGAGCCCGGCGCCTCCGCAGCGCTCCCCGCCGCTCCCCCCGGCCGGGCTCGGAGGGCCGTGACCCACCGCTCCGGCCCCCGAGAACCGAGACCCACCGCCCCAGCCCCGGCCGGGCTCGGAGGGCCGTGACCCACCGCACCGGCCCCCGAGAACCGAGACCCACCGCCCCAGCTCCGGCCGGGCTCGGAGGGCCGTGACTCACCGCTCCGGCCCCCGAGAACCGAGACCCACCGCCCCAGCCTCGGCCGGGCTCGGGAAGCAGGGACCCCCACCCCACTCCGACCCCGCGGAGCCGTGACCCTCGCCCCGCCCCGGGAGGGCTCGGGGGAACCCCATTCTTTGCTGTGGCCTGCCCGCCGCTTCCGCCGCCCTGCCGCTCGCCCCCGGCCCCGTCCGCGGCCCCGTAACAGCGCCGTCCGCGGCAGGTCCCGCCCGGGGAGGCGGCGGTGGGGAGAGGGGGAGGAGAGGCGGCGGAGTGCATTGCCTCCCGGAGAATCAAAAGGAGGGAGAGAGGAACGTGCGGAGGAGGGGAGGGAAGGACGGGCCGGGCGGGGGAGGGTCCCTGTCCCGCCCGCCTCGGAGCGTCCGCGTCGCCTTCGCGCGGGGACCACGGGGAGAGTCGCTTGGGGCGGCCGCAACCCGCCGGCTCCACGCCCCGGCTCCGCGCCCATGTGCTCCTGGCAGCCGCGACGGGCAAACCTCGCGCACGGCGTGTCAGTAAGTAGCCCTTCGCCTCTCCGGCACCTTCCTGGACCCATGCCGGCAACCCCGTCACCGAACCTCTCCTGCTCCTCCCGGAACCCTGCTCTCTCGGACCCCTGAACCCTCTTCCCGTCACGGAGTCCTGACCTACCGCACTCCCTGCGCGCTGCATCTCCTGCATGACTCCACTTCCCTGAGCCCGCAGAACCTCCTTTCCTTCCCTACCAGTGACCACCCTGCGCGGCCACATCTTCTGCAGTTCTTGACCCTCTGCTCCTCCCGGATCCTTTTTCCCCGCTCCAGCCCGCATCCCTTGTCCGTTCCAACGGACCCTCCAGACTCCTTTTCCTCCCGTATCCCCAGTCCTCTTGCTCCCTTGCCTTCCCGCATCCTACCCCTCCCGGGCCCCCGTTCTTCCCGGATCTCTCTGCCACCCGGACCGCTTTCCCTTCCCGGCCCCTCTGTCTTCCCGGCTCTACGTTCTCCTGGCCCCCCGGGCCCACTGCCCTCCCGGCACCTCTGCCTTCCCAGCCCTTCCCCGCCCGCATCTCCCTTTCTCTCCCGGACCCCCTTCCCCTCCCAGCCTGCTCCTCCCGACCCCCCTGTTCCCCCAGCCTTTTCCCTGACCGTCCCCCCGCATCCCCTGCCCCCCTCATCTCCTACACTTCCTCTCCCGCTCCCCCTCGCACCCTCCCTGCCCCGCAGCCTTCCCCTCGCATCACCCCGCCGAGTTTTGGTTCCCGGCCTCCGCCTTCCCTCAGGGGGAGCCGGATCTCTCCGCCGCCCCCTCCTACCCCTGGAGGGCCGGGAGCGGGGTTTCGGGACCTGAGGGTAGAGCTCGCCTTCCCGCAGAGCGCCCGGCTGCGGGCTGGCAGCCTCCCGGGAGGCAGAGGTGCTGCCCCGCCGCACTCGGCGGGTTGCGCAGTCCTACCCCTGGAGCCTTCATGTTGTGCCTTATTTCCAGCCGTAGGTACCTCCTCCCCTGATTTAGGGAATGATCTTCCCCAAGTGCCCTGACCCACTTTGCCTTAGACATGTGGTGGTGCCACGCCAAGACACAGGCAGATTCTTCTCAAGAAGGTGTCTCTGGAGGGATGGAAGCATCCTATGCCCCTCTCTCAAGTTTTTGTCCCCAGGGTTCTGGTGTTTTGCAGGTTGAAAGGCATTTCTGTAGATAGGTGTATACTTCTTGAGTAGCAGCATAGGTCTTTTGTAACATTACAGAAGAGAATTGTTTTTCTTAGTTTTTAAAAGTAAGCAAAACTTTTGTGTGGTGCACATGCTTAATTCCACTTACAGACTCCTCTACATTCCCTCCTTGTGCTGAAGTAGTATTAATTTTATTGCCTGTACATGAATTGAATTCACTGATTGGTGTCTAATCACGCTTAGAATAAAAAAGCCGCTGTATAAATAGCTATCGGAATTAATTTGGCAGCAACTGTGAGAAATGATCATAAATTTACAAATACAGTTGGAGTAATGATCCAGCAGGGATTTAACAAGAAAAGCACCCCAACCTCTGGGAAGTAGCATGTGGGTTTCTGTGGCAGTCAAACACACTTGGTCACACTGGTACTGAGCTTAGAGGCTGGGAGTTGTCTGAGGAGGAGGCAGAGAGGTTAAGGCTCCTGGGTTTGAGCAGGAAGAGGCAAAGAAGCGAAGGAGCTGGGCTGAGTGCGAACAGGACTATTTTGAGAGACCCTTGTGTTCTAATCATGTGATGCTTGAGGGTATGTGGGGGCAAATCAAAAAGATGTGATGTCTTCACCTACCAGGAGCCCACCTGAAGTTTGGGCTCCTGGCACTTCTGGACATCAAGTGATAAAAGGCTCCTTTTTGCACTTAAGATGCCAGCAACGTAAGGGAATGCTGGAAAAAATGTCACCTCATAAGACTTCGCTTGGGGATGTGTTGATGAGGTTTACCTCAGCCACAAAGGTCTGATCTTGAAAAGCCTGAGGCACTGCAAGCAGTTTTTCACTGAAGCTGTGGGGACAGGTATAATGGGAAGCACATTCCCCAGGCATCCCAAGAGGAAGGCCTGATAGCTAAGGATAAATGAGACCTCGCCTTTTTTCTTTATCCGTATGAAAAGGATCAAGATGCACAGTGAACAGTGAGTAGGCAAGTACACAGGGAGCCCCTGAAGGTGGCTGCAGAGCGTTCCTGAATGCACACAGCAGCCTGTGCAAGCCAGGCTGCTTCCCACCACTGTCCCACCGACCCACCAGCCAGTATCACTGACAGCGATACTAGCCACTGCCCACAAGGATGGGGCAGTAAATGAAATCTCTTAATGAAAAGTCGTGTGGGAAGGAAAAGCACTCTGGCATATAAACAATTTTTTTCTCTAATGTCAGTATTACTGAACTTGCATTTTTCTCCTTTTTTTTTAATGTTATTTAATTATAGGGACCTTTGACTTCATGATGGGAGGAAACATCCCCCTGGCTGTAAGGATCCAAGCTTCTCCCAGCGCGAGGATTTGTCAAGGCTGAGAGACTTCGGATTAGCCATAAACAACTCTAAAACACACAGCTGCTTTTCCATCTCCCCATTGTGAGGGGTCTTGGAGGAGATACAGAGATGGCCTCCAGCCTCACCTGTGCCGGTGTTGTCTGGGCCTTCCTCTCCTTCCTCTGTGCCGCTGCCTCCTGTGTGGGTTTCTTCATGCCCTACTGGCTCCTGGGGTCTCAGCTGGAGAAGTCGGTTTCATTCGGCACTTTCCGGAGGTGTTCCTACCCAGTGCGGGATGAGAGCCGCCAGACAACCGTGATGGTGGAGCAGTGCGGCCGCTATGCCTCCTTCCAGGCCATCCCGAGTGCCGAGTGGAGGATCTGCACGGTGGTGACGGGCCTGGGCTGTGGGCTGCTCCTCTTGGTGGCCCTCACGGCGCTCATGGGCTGCTGTGTATCCGAGCTCATCTCCAGGACTGTGGGCAGGGTGGCAGGAGGCATCCAGTTCCTGGGGGGTAAGTGCTCATGTGGGGAGGGGATGAGGGTGTCTGTGTGGAGACTCCACTGGTGTTTGGGGACAAGGAGGGGATGAGCCAAACTTTCTGCTGGCGAGTGAGACCACTTGACTCCTTTGGATGTGGCCCAAAGACACAGCCACCTTTGGTCACTCTCCTGTGCTCAAGTCCCTGACTGGTCATTGTGGTCATTTAAGAGTTGCATGGCAAGTTGACTTCTGCGGGCCATCATCTTCGCAGTGGTTTTGTGGGCTGTAGTTTATAGCAGAGCTCTGCCAGGATGGCAGTACCTGGAGAAGCAATGGGACTGCAGAGCTCCATGGAGCATTATGGTTTTGAAGTGGAGAGGCAGTGTTATGTGGGAACATCTTTCTCCTCCCAAAGAAGAGCTCTGCCTTCCCTGGTAGAGCTCCTTCCACCTCTGCTGGCTGCATCTGCACGGATCTGACACAAGTCTGTGGCCAAGATTTGAGGTAGGGGATTGCTTATCCCCGGTAGGGGTTTCCCACCACCTCCCAGAAGGAGCCCTGCCAGGCTGCCTGACCCACGCTGCCCGCTGATGGTGCCGCAGGTTTGCCGAGTCCATGAGCGTGGGAGAATTACCTCCTCTCCTTTTTTTAGCTTGTAACTGTACAGAGTATTTGTAACTGTGAAGTGTTTGAAGAGTACGAGACAATAAACAGGATCCTCGAGTGTGTTTTTTATAGGGCAGTTTTCCCAGTAAATCATCACTCCCTTGTCATTGGTGACATGAGGCTCACTGGCACTCACTTTTGCCTGGTGCAAGTGCTCCACCACCCCTCTGTGCTTGCTCCCATAAAGGGATGTGTTCCCTTGAGCTTTGAGTGCAGGTGCCAGTGTTCTGGGTGCCCTGTAGTGTTCGGTCCCAGCCAGGGACCCTGGCTCATGCCCTGTAGTAGCAGGCTACAGAGGGACCAAACAGAAACTTGCCCACAAGGGCAGTGTGGATACATCCCAAGTCTACAGCCCCAAGGAAGCACAGGACAAAAACTCTGCTACTGTCCAGCTCAGGGCAGACAGTTGAGGCAAGGCAAGTGCCCTGTGCCAAGCCTCTAGCCAGACAATGCCAGCACAGTTCACTTCTGGCCACGGGCAGCTCTGCCTCCAACTTCTTGAGTAGTTTCTGCACTTCGGAGCAAGCCAACCCTGTCATTTCACCCTTCCCTCAGCTTTGCAATCCACAGGCATTCCTCTGTTTAATCTGTCTTGACAATTAGAAGGTGCAGCAGC